GTTTCTTTGACACACACCATTTATAGTCCTCAATCAACCAGTATTTTCTATGAAGAGTCTTAGAGAAACTCCATTACACGATTCAACCTGATGATAAAAACAGTCATCTTAAAATAAACAGCAAATTTCATTGAATAAAAAACAATCATTATCAGTCATACAAAATACTGTTTTAGGGTTTTAGCACTACTATATAAAAGACAAAGAAACTGAAATCTAGAAAATCATTACAAACAGTAACAAAAAGAATCAGTATCTACTAATAGAATAAATAGATGGAGGATCTGTAGGGTCTCCCATAGGCATTGCTTCACATGTTAAGGTTTAATATATGTTTTACTCCTATTTGATCTTATTCACTTTATTGTCTTTAATGCCTCTGCTCATGTTCTTTGGCCTTTTTCTCATTGTATCTGCCTTGTTTGTTTTATTTCTTTTTGTAATGCACCTTGTAAGAAAAGTGCAATATAAATACAGTTTATACAGTATGTATAGTGTTCTGGCAGTGTCAGTGCAGGATGGTGATGCTGCGGTCAGCCACGGCACACGCTGGCAGCAGCGGGGCACTGAAGGGATGTGTGACAGAGTACAGCACTGCAATGGAGTCCAGCTCGTAAAACACCAGCGTCTGACTCGGCCAGTCCAGCAGCAGGCCGATCTTTTGGGGTTTCCTTGCGACCTGCAGGGGCACCTTATTCCCCCCGTGGCAAAAGGAATAGTCCCCATCGTAGTGGGACAGCACCCAAGACTGACTGTTGTTGCCCAGTCGGGCCTCGTTCCCAGAGCCTTTGCGCTCCAGAGAGGAGTAGCAGACCCCAATCTTAAAGGCAGCACTCTGGCCTACCCCCACCACCCAGCTGTGGGTGCCAGAGGACATGGACAGTGAACCCAGTGCGTTGGGCAAACAGTCGAATCGTGCTGGGTCGTACTGCGGGGACTGGCGAGCTTTTTTGTGTAGGAAAGTCAAAGTGCAGAAGTCATCAGACAGGGACAGGAGAGGGCTCACTGTGCGCTCATCAAACTTTAAAGAAGACGATCCGGAAGCTGGGTGAAGAGGAAAAAGATGGATTGAATGTCACACTACGATACTATAAGCAAACATGTTTTGAGGCATTTTGAGAATTCTTTACTGTAATTTTTTTCTTTACTGTAATAATTGGTCGGCCACTGTGCTGGCCACTTCCTGCCATCCTACACACTATAACGCTTGTCCTCCTTCCAGATTTACATTCAACCAGCTCAGATATTAGCATGCTGCTTATACAAATCACTAATTATGAGTCGGGATGCCACTAACTATTATTTTCATTGCCGAATCTGTCTAATTATTTTCTTAATCCATTCGTTGTTTGGTCTATAAAATGTCAGAAAAGTGTGGAAAATGTTGATGGATGTTTCCCAAAGCTCAAGATCACGTCCTCAAATGTCTTGTTTTGTCCACAACCCAAATATATTCAGTTTACTGTCATAGAGGAGTAAAGAAACCAAAACATATTCACATTTAAGAAGCTGGAATCAGAGAATTTTGAGTTTTTTAAAAAGATTACTCAAACTGATCTATCGATTATCAAAATAGTTGGCAATAAGATTAAATGGCTGACAACTAATTAATTAATCATTGCAGCTCTAATAATGATTAAATAATATATACTGTAATATTGTAACACTGAAAGGAGCCATTCTGCATAATGAGTACTTTTACTATTTTGCTGATAATACTTATCCTTTACTTGGAACTTTGTTTGTACCTTAGTATTTTTTACATTGTAATATGAAATACTTTTATTTCAGTAAAGGATCTTTCACCACAGAATAGAGGTTAGAAAAAGACTATATCACTTTTCTCACTGAAATGCTAATACTAATCTACTTAAGCATTGTTAATACAAAATAAGCCCTCCTCCAAACTCCCTGCTTTTGATTAAAAAAACCTCCCATTTTCTAAATTTTCAAGGTTTGCAAGTATGCTAATTACCATCATCGGTATTATGTAATAATGATCCTGCTGGATCTGCAGTGCCGGCATGGTGATCGAGGATGCTTTAGTTGAGTATAAATGTACTGACCGTTTGGGCCCAACAGTACTGCAGTGGCCCACAGACCTCTCAGCAGCTTGCTGTCACTGCAGCCTGGGTTCAGGTTGAGCTGGTCTGTGTCACAGGGCTCCCCAACCCCCTCTGCTGCCTCCACCCTGACACAAACACCCACAAACAGGAAAAGGAGACAAGATATCATCTCTCTGTTATGTCCTAAGCAAGAAAAAAATATTTTCACAAGCAAGTCATGTGTTGAAAGATTACCTTTCAGCTATCTTCTGGACACTAGTCTGAAAGACAAGACAGGAAGAATGTGTAGTTAAGTAATTTATTATCATTATCGAAATTCTGCAATTTGAGCACACGTTCCTCTATTCTTCAGAAACCTTCCCCCTCTCACCACCAGCTGTGCGTCCTGCATGTCTGTCAGCGTGTGCACCAGGTGGGAGCGTGTTTGCGAAAGACTCTCCAAAGCCTGGCTCCAGTGGGCTCTCTGGGTGAGGAGACACTGCTCCACCCGCTCCTCCTCCCTCTGCACCTCCTCCAAGAGACGCTGCTCCTCCTCCTCCAGGGCTTCGCGTGCTGCGCTGACCTGAGCCAGCACACGCTCCCTTGCCCTGCTTGCCGCTGTCTACACAAAGAGACAGGAGAGAAGAAATATTGGAAGACTTGTGGTGTAGGAGGCGAAATTACATGGTTTTGAATCAAACTGCATAACATCATTGTGACTATAGTGAACAGGTTTATTATAACTTTTACGTTTATAAAGCCTATACATGTACGTAGTGTTTCTAAATCTCGAGAAGGCTTTTTCAGCAGGAAACTTGTGTCAGACATGTTACAGATGAAATACTTTTCATGCTTTTGATTTAAAACTTAGGGCTGCAACTAAGGATTGTTATAATTGTAATAATAACGGTTTTATCTACAAAATCTCAGAAAATCTTTGAAAAATTAGATAACGTCTTCATGTTATGATTAGCTGATATGACAATACATATAAAAATACAATATTAATGAGATTTTTCCCTACAGTGGCAGGTATCTCATTAATATTTCTGGGTAACAGGCATTGTATCCATCACCCATTCCTTCTTAAAAATGTTTGTTTTGACCAACCAGCACCCCCAAAACCAATGTATATTCAATTTACCATCATGTAAACAGAGAAAAGGAGGAAACTGTCATATCTGAGAAAATGATTAGCATTTTTGTTTTGAAAATAATTTACACAATTTATGTTGGTACAGCAACATATAATACACATTGGTTTGGTGATTTGATTCTTGCTTGGAAAAGGTATTTACAGATTTTTCTGCCTTGGTTGTTTGCTTGAGGTTTGTGTTGCTTATGGTAACTTGTTGCCTAGAAAACTACACATGCATGACCGTACCTCTTGTGTTCAGGGAGGTTAATAAATACGCATGCACTGAAAGGGGCAACCTTTGCTTCTCTGCATGGTGGTGATAAATTGACTGACTTAAACACAACCTCTATTTCAAGGTATACTTGACTAGTGAACATATTGTATTAGTGGTCGACTTATTTGGCTTTTTCAAGGGCCGATGCCGATATTTAGAGAGTAGGTATGTAGGCATGTACAATTAATGCATGCAGAGTACTATCTAATATACATGATTAACTTTGCCAGTAACATTGTTGTTTTAGATAGATTTTTTTATTAATTAATGAAATAGAAAAAAAACATTGGGTTTGTTGTAGATTTTAGAACGTGACTGTGTTTAAGGGAGAGCGGGGTACGGTTTGTCAGAAGTGACGTCATTGATGTGCATTATTCTCTACAGTATAACAATACATATTTAATGCGAGCCAGTAAAGGTTTTAGATTAGACTTACTGTCAATTAGGATATGAGAAGCACGTTAAAAAAGACGATGGTGACTGAGGACATTTATGGCTTGAAACTAACTTTTTCACCACCTTCCCAAAAGTGAAGTTGTGGAAAAGACAATTCCATCAGCTGAGAAAGTTGTGATACTCCCTGATTCAAAAGAATTAAGATTTAGAAAGCATGCTCATCATACTGACATTATTTTTTTAATGAATTAACGCATGAGCACATGTAAAGAAACATCTGAAGTGTTGTTTTTGTTTTTTTACCTGATGATTTCTATCACAATTTCTTCTTCTTGCTGATGTGACCGTAACTGTTTCACATACAAGTACTGAGACGGTTAGTCCCATAATCGATTAGTCGATTAAGTTATTTATCATTCTCCTTCTCAGTTCAGTTCAATTCAATTCAGTATGCTTTATTGGCACGAGTCTATCAAAGACAATATTGCCAAAGCATCAAGCAATAATGATAGTAATCTCTCTCCCTGTGTGTGTCTGATCACGTGCAACTATGTGTGATTATACGCCCCATTATTTGTCTGTGTTGTGACATCAAATAGTCTACAGATTAGTTGTTTAATTAATGAAAACAATTCTTTAGTCACAGCCCTAATACAAAGACACTTATCATAGGGTCATCAGTATGCACATGCACAAACCCAACGAATGGGCAGTCTCACGTGACTTTTCTGTAAAGGCTAGCCAGGCAATATCAAAACATTACTTGTGAAACAGTGGCTAAGCTGAGAAATGTGTATCATACTGTGTACTGTGTGTCTGGGTGAGCATTAGTGGTTGAGTGGGTGGGGATCAGTGGTTTTTCTCACCTGAAGCTTTTGCTCTTTAGCTGTCAGTGTCTGGTTGATAAACTTTTCAATCCTCAGTGCCTGCAGCTGTATTTTCTCACACACATCCACCAGTTCATTCTGGTGACAACACACACATAGAGCAGTTGTTGAATAAGCAAAATACACCTGAACATCACCAGCTGGAGACACAAGAAATTCCTGTCTTTTCTAATACCACGCAGAGGAATCAGCGAGAAAAACCTCTTGCAAAATGTGGCACACCCAAGAAAGAATTATGTAGACATTAAGTAAAGATATTAAACTGTCAATGAACACAATTTCCACACATTATCAGAAGCTCACGTTAATGAAGCACAGCTACCATCCTAAAAAAGGTTAGGCCTACTGGTTGAAATATGCAAAATCTATAGACAACTTTCTCTTATGAAAGCTTTTCAAGTATATGAGATAAATGGGTAAACAACAGTAACATATAGGGCAAATAAAGTTAGGAAGGCGCAGACAGTTAAGTAACCTTAGAGAAAGTAGGCCTAACCTTCCTGGGCTAGTTCTAACCCTGCAGGTAAAGAAAACATTGTAGTCCTATTTACTCTACATTTCCTAAGTTAAAAACAACTCCTATCATGCCACAGCTCAGTCAATGCATTAAAAAGAAGCAAACAGCTGTTGTGTAGGCTACACAACCCACGGCACTTACTTCGCACACTCACCCTGACTGCGGTTACTCTGGTGGCCAGTGGGGTCACAGTGTGTCCTTGGCAGGGGCCCACGGTGGCGCAGTGACAGCAGATGAGTTTCTGCTCGGTTCCACAGAACCATTCTAGCTCGGACTCATGCGCCACACAGAGCTCACGTTCAACAGAGAAGATCCCAGACTCTGTGTCGGAGGTAGTCCCAGCGGTCGGGGAGGTCGCGTCCCCCGCCTGCTGCTTCACATCGCCGCTCAACGCGGAGAAAATAGGCTCCTCACAATCCATCCCCCCCGTTTTCACACAGTTTAAAGTCTCCTCCGAGTCACCCGATGAAGACGAGCTGGCTAGGTCGCACGTTATGAGCTCCTCGGTCATGGCACAATAAGGCAACAGGTGCACCGGCAGAGCTGGAGTCGCACCTACAGCACAGCGCTGTAATACAGGTGTAACAGGTGAGCGAAACGCGGAAGTAACGCGGACTTCAGAGGTCAGAGCTCAGAGAAAAAAAAGGGTTTCGCTCTACTGGTTTTCAGTTGTATGATTTAGCTTGCCTTAATTTCCTGTTTCTGTCCTCGTTTTATGTCTTATTCATGCCACTTTTTTAAACTCAGATTTCCTGTGAAGCCCACAGGGGGAATGTAAAACTCAAGTAGCTACTGTAGTTTAACTATTATGAGGTGGATTGTACTTTACACTATATTTTAGTGGGAATTTGTACTTTTTATTCACAATCAGCCTTGATTAGGCTAACCTACCTAAAGAACAATTGCAGATTTTGACTGAAATAGGTCTGAGTATATGGCACACGACATTAATAAGAATATTTTTTTTTTTCCCGATATCGATATAGTTCACTGTTAGGCATCTTCAGTGCGATTAAATGTGCTCCTTTACTTTTTACATTCAAAACAAAAACTTTAATTCTTTATTTTGTTAGTTTATGATTACAGTTTTTTTTTTAACTCATCACTTTAGACAACATACTTTTGCAAATGTGATTTTACTGATAGCCACTTTTTTGAATCATTTTGACATAGTTTTTTATTATTATATAAATCTGACATTCAAAAATCCATTACTAGGTAACGTTGTGAAAAAACTGTGGAAGAGTATAATTAAATTTTCCAGGGTGGAACCCTGTACCCAGGGATCAGAGGTGCGGCCACATCTCACAGACAGATCTGTTTAGCAATAGTGAGCAACACCCACCATCTGGAAACGCTCTTTAGTCTAGGAAAAATAATCTCTAAGAAAACCAAATATACATTAAGAAAGATTGCCCGCCCTTATAAATGGCCAGACCTATTCATTTAAATTGTTGTTAAAATGTTTTTTTTTCTAAAACACAAAATATATTAAAATAGCTTACACAGTCTGATACTGGTAAACTAGTAGAACTGTGATAGTGTTAAAAAAAAATGGAATCTTTTGCCTGTGTTTTCCTGGGCATGTGATTGGTGAGAAACTGGAAAAAGAAAATAATGTAATATGCTGTTGTTCTTTAGTAGGCTACTTGATATATTTGGTTTTAATTTTGCAGTGTAACATATTGTTTTACTGTAAATTGAGCAGCTTCTGTGCCCTATTCTAACCATATGCTTTGTTCTCACCCATTACTAGGGCTGCAAATAATAACTATTTTCGTGGTCGACTAATCTTTTAATCTGTTAATTATTTATTCGATTAGTCACTAGTCACGATTATTTTTGTCACCCCCTAACCCTAACCCAACCATTTAACTAATTAAATATCTTTCAAGTGAATTACTGATCTCAAACACACAGCCTAACTAGCTAATAGTAAGTGAACGAAGAAGACAAGACAACTTCGGTAAAACTGCCAATATTCAAATTGTACACAGCTGATTTTTAGCCTCAGAACCGCTCAAAATGTATTTAGTGATTAAATAGCGTACAAACAAAAGCCGCTCTGCTGTTCGCCTCTTTCTACGTTACTTTCTTCTGCTTCAAGCGTGAAAGCTTCTTCTTCGTGAGTTGTGTCAAGTAGTCATGGGAGACAGTAGAAGCGATACTGCCCCCAGCACCTCCTGTAGTGCATTGCAGTTAGAAATAAACTACAAATGTTCCTAATATGAAGATTGCTGTCTCTCCCTTAAACGGCATCTATGTAAAGATGCGTTGTTTTGTCGATTACGTTGCCTAATCGCTGCATCCCTACCCAATACCAATATTAGAAGTTTCCATTTAACTCTGTCAAGAATCCTGAAGAGGAAAATGTGGGCAAGAGGTTTTAAACAAAGGTTAAGTAAACATGTTTGTATCCTCTTTACAACCCCTTCCATCCTATCACCTTTTAAAATGAGCATAAATTATATACATTTTGTTAAACCTTTATCATGTATCATATATCTCTTGGTAAGTTTGAGAGGACACAGATCAAATCTCAAGATATTCAACCAACCTCCCACTCTTCCCATTTCCATGTCTTTGTGTAACTGGATAGGAGTGATGGACAGATGAGAGTCATGCCCACTGGCTCAGACAAGGTGGGTTGCACATTCACTTTGAAATGAGCACAGCAGAGACACAGGGCTGCCATTGTCTCCAACACAAGAAGATGTTTTCTAATGGGTAAAACTGGTAAACACGAGACATCCAGGTATTAATATCATGAGACGAACAAGGGCTTCCTGTGCACTAAGTCTGTTGTGTATGAAAGAGCTAAATCCATGAATACATACAATAAAACAAAAATATTTAATAATGCAAATGGAATTTGCTAAAATAAAATTACACCCCCTCTCTCTTTTTATACACCCTGTTAAGGTTAAAATAAGTTCCACCAAAAATTCTCTTCATGATAATTTAAAGTCACTCTGGGAGCAGCATGTTAACATAATCATAAATACAATAGTTTTGTTTTGTTCTTATTGATTATCATACACCATTCATCTCTTTTACAGAAAATGCAATAATAGACTTCCTTTCAAATTAAAGGCATCTTAAATTGGAGAGCAGGAGCAAAGAGAACACAGTATAGCACAAAGCTACAGTAGAGGGAAGAAGTCAAGTGAGTAACATACATTAATGGGATAAGACTGCATACAGATGGGGAGAGAGAGGAGGAGACAGGAGCTCAGTGCATCATGGGAAGCCCCACCCCCCGGCAGTTTAGGTCTGTAGCATCATAACTAAGTGATGGTTCAGGGATTATCTGAGCCAGCCCTAACAATAAGCTCTATCAAAGAGGAAAGTCTTGGGGCTACTCTTAAATGTGGATATGGTGTCCGCCTCCCCAACCTAAACTGGGACCTGATTGCAGAGGAAAGGAGTTTTATAGTTGAAAGCTCTGGCTCCCATTTTTACTTGTGGAGACTCTAGGAACAAGATGTATCCCTGCTTTCTGGGATTGCAGATGTGTTGGGTTGGGGCCTAAAGATGCTGGTAAACACTTTAAAGTGCAGCGTCTTGTGCTTCTAGATGAAACTGTATCAGGCCCTGGAGATTACTTAGAGTAATGACTGCACATCACTATAGCTTCTTTGATAATGAATCATCCTTAATGGCTCCATATTCCAAATGTTACTCCTTGGGACGCAAGGGATGCATTCCTTTTATTTACTCTCCAATATCCCATTATCCAGGTGCTGGTTGTGCTAAACTACGATAATATAGCCTCACATAGTGGTTTGAATTCTTTTTACATTTCTTATTGTTATCAGAATCTGTTTAAAGTTTATTAGTAGCAGTTTCACTTTTACAAATTATAGCCTTGTAGTAAAACCAGCAGAACTGGTTTTCATCTTAGTTGGCTACATTCTCCAGTGTGCTACCATATGAGCATGAGAGTGTATGGGGATGAAATCAAATGTGGTACATTTCTTTAAATGGATGGAAATAAAATGGCTATTCAACGAGACAATTATTACTGGCTTTACAAAAGTCAAAAAAATTAAAGTGAAAAATATAGTAAAAATATAGCTGAGCGGAAATGATTGGGATCCAAGCAAGTCATGAAAAATGCATTTGACATTTTCACAGAAGAACAGATGCAGACAACTTAAGAGATTAAAGTGATGAAAGAATTCAGACTTAATTATTAATAATTGCAGCAACACAAACTTGATTTTTACAGCATCACCTGAGATCAGAGAGTGTCATTATACAGGTGCTGGTCATATAATTAGAATATCATCAAAAAGTTGATTTATTTCAGTAATTCCATTCAAAAAGTGAAACTTGGATATTATATTCATTCATTACACACAGACTGATATATTTCAAATGTTTATTTCATTTAATGTGATGATTAAAACCGACAACTAATGAAAATCCCAAATTCAGTATCTCCGAAATATGAATATTACTTCAGACCAATACAAAAAAAGGATTTTTAGAAATGTTGGCCAACTGAAAAGTATGAACATGAAAAGTATGAGCATGTACAGCACTCAATACTTAGTTGGGGCTCCTTTTGCCTGAATTACTGGAGCAATGCGGCATGGTATGGAGTCAATCAGTCTGTGGCACTGCTCAGGTGTTATGAGAGCCCAGGTTGCTCTGATAGTGGCCTTCAGGTCTTCTGCATTGTTGGGTCTGGCGTATCTCATCTTCCTCTTCACAATACCCCATAGATTTTCTATAGGGTTAAGGTCAGGTGAGTTGGCTGGCCAATTAAGAACAGGGATACCATGGTCCTTAAACCAGGTACTGGTAGCTTTGGCACTGTGTGCAGTCCTGTTGGAAAATGAAATCTGCATCTCCATAAAGTTGGTCAGCAGCAGGAAGCATGAAGTGCTCTAAAACCTCCTGATAGACGGCTGCGTTGACCTTGGACCTCAGAAAACAGGGTGGACCAACACCAGCAGATGACATGGCACCCCAAACCATCACTGACTGTGGAAACTTTACTCTGGACTTCAAGCAATGTGGATTCTGTGCCTCTCCTCTCTTCCTCCAGACTCTGGGGGGGTTGGTGGAGGAGTGTGGTGGCAGGCTGACTGCGAAGCACAAGGGGGAGCCGAGAGGGTGCCATGGAAGACGCCTGAGGGAGACGTCTGAGGGGAGCCCAGCCGATTCGACGGTGGACGGAGATGAGTGAACCTGGGGAAAGACAGACAGGCAGGCAGACAGGGTTAGTAATGGGAAACCAGAGAACGGAGAACAGAGATGTGGCGAGATCAAAAAGCTAGGGATGGCACGCTCGATACGCAAGTGACGTGTCGACGCTGTGTTGAGATCCCGAAGCACAGACGTTTCGAAACACTGCTCCAAAGCGTGGTTCAAAATGTCAATGTCACGTGACCGCAGTGAAACGAGGCTTCAGTGCGTTTCACCCCTGTTTCGACAGGTGGCACACCTGCCGCTTCTACGCTTGATTCACAGTGTTTGGAACAAACTGCACATCAGCCTCTAACTCATTTGACAGATTTGTTCCAAGGACTGACAATAATTTGATTTATGCTGTAGTATATCCGCACCTGTAGGCCTAATGGCAAAAAAATATTTATCTTTGCCAGCAACAAATGTTCCATGTGACCAAATTTTGAG